GCAAGATCGGAGCCGGATCGAGATAGCACATCTATGAACTGAGACTGTTCAAGGTTTATACTACTCTTCAAGGTGACTAGGCAATCCAGTTGCTTTCCTGCCTTCAGTTCCATCCAACTCAATCGGTGTTCAAACACTTGCATCAGCCTACATTCTTCTCACGAGCTCGGCAATTGCGTTCTTCTGAATGACCCTGGCCTGATCTAGGACCAAGAGATATTTCTTTCAACCGTGGTCAACTACGTCGACTCAATTCATTCAATCCGTCTCAGCATCTCAGTTACACTCCATATCATATGAAGCGAGATAGGTGGCACAGTAACAAACAAACAACATACTCTTTTTTGGAAGACTATCCTGCGTTGCTTGCTTTCATCGTTCGCAAACCAAACAGATAACACACCACGTCCTCACATCTAATAATCAAATCGTACCAAGAGCCCCCCGATCTTATTCTCTAAACCGCTGGTACTCATCTCCCCGGATGTGATGGCGCTCAGCAGCTAGTCAGCCTGCTGGAGAATTCCCATAATTATAGTGCTTCAACCTATCGGGCTTTAAAATAGATGAACTCTCGGTAAGCCTTGACATATGATGTGCTGCTTCCACCGCCTCGTTCCCATCTCGCGGTCGCTCGCGATTCTTGCTGGTTTTGCGAAGAAGGACATGCTAGTGGATGACGGAAGGGCCTTGAAGGGCAAAATCTGAATTCGATCATCACCAGCCGCCGTCGGGCAGAAATGCACTGGCTTTTGTCGAGTTCGAATTCATTGTTGCTGGGCAGGAGAGAGTGGCTGAACGGAAGCCGGCTGCTCGCAAATTCCCCAAGTGTCACTGGACGTCGTTCTTTGACTGCTGATCTGATACCCCTGCTGAGGTATGGACAGGTCGTGTCGGCCGCTCGAATCCTCAGAATTCCACGCAGAGGCGTCTATGAAAGTGGAGGTGTTGAGACTTTTCTGTAGGGCGCCATCATTTGGGATCGACCTAGACTTTTTCAGGCAAGCTTGAATTAGTATATATGCTCAACCAAGAAGCCGAAAGCCTTCAAAACGACATTCCCAGCTGCAGAGCTCCAGCCAGATAAAAATTGCTCAACAAATGGCCTGAGGCATCGGAGAGCTTCGGACTCAATGACTACACCTCTCTCGGGACGCCCAAAGCTCCTCGGCATTTCTTCAGGTCAACGCAGGACATCCACATCTACTGACAGATATCATGATTCCTCCGACTTCTTCCAGACCATGTGCCTTACCCTACAGAAGTGGAAACTCGAACAAGTCGACATGGAACCCATACATATAGGAAACTACGGGGGCAGTCAGGACTACCTTCCATGGTGGAACGAGAACAAAAGCCTCTAGAGCACCTTGCTGACTTTACGTGAGCGGACTTTGTGGACTGACGACGCTTTGGCTTATGGAAGCCCGGGCCAAATCTTCAACGTTGATATGGAGACGTTCTTCAGAACGTGTAATTTCTTCTATTATCCGATTGTTGCTCCTTGCAACTCCTACAACAAAGTAGGTTAACTCTACTGTGACGGGCCACCTTCGTCTCCGGAAAGATAAGATTCTCCATCTAAGGAACCACATCTGATTTAACACATAAAAGGCTACCAATCAAAGCTGCGGCCGCCCGTCTGCCTGATCCCCGAATCTCGGCTGGTGACTATCTGAATCTCGATATTGAACGACGGTCTTGACTCCGGTGACCTCTGGATCGCCAGTTGCATCTCCTGCTTTGCCTTTCTCTTCATGTGGTCGAACTGTTTTTCTATCTCACCCTTGACGTCGAAATCTAAAATTGCGCCATGACCACTTATATCGAAACGCCACGACTCAATCCGGAAGTCCTTCAGGTCAGCGAAGTCCTGTCTGCCTGTCGTTCGGGTCAAGCCTTCCTCCAGCACTGTCTTGAGTTCAGTCTCCATGTCGGTAAGGGTTTTGAAAGCAAGGTGACCCCTGGGGGTCCACGGTATCCTGAGGTGCACTGGGTACTGTATGGTAATGCCGTAGGTGAACTCAACCTCTGGTGCAGACTGAACTGTGTTGTTCATACCGGACCAAATTCGCGTTCCCTCGCCGCCGAGGATCAACCTCTGTGAGACAGGTAAGACCGGATCATAGCTTCTCGCTACCTGTGCTTCTGCGATTGACTCTCCTTGAGTGGTCGTAGCAGTCCCCTCGGTTGGGCCCGTTTCTGCGAGAGCTTCGTCCGTAGACACAGCGCGGGTACTATCTTCTTCGACTTGAGGCTGCTTTCCAGCGGCTGACTTCGAGGCTCGAAGACCTGGGACGGGCTCAGCTTCGTCGGCAATACTAGATTCGTTGGTTCTGGAACGAGTTTCACTCGCTGACACTGAGGGTCCGTCTGCTGAGTTATCGTTGTCGTACGGCTGATTAGATGAGCTTCGAGCTGAGCACTCGGCTACCACGATATTCTCCTGCTCGTGGCAGGTGTTGGTACTGTTGTCCTGGAATGACCTACGGCTCACGTACGCTGCAAGACGTCGTCGATTTCGTTTTGCAGGTGGATAATCGCGGACAGAGGATGCGCCTCGTTTCGCAGATCCATGTATCGATGTTTCCATGCATGGTGTATGCAGGATTGCCGCGGTGGTTACAGGCGCAACATGTATGGTCTCAAGGTGCCCGCCCACATCGCGGCTGGAGAAGTCCTTCACCGTACGGTCTGTGTCTTCCGGACATGGATCGTCGTCTTCTTCGTCTTGGTCGTCCATCGCCTTCGTTGTCTGCCTTTCTCGCTTCCTCGAGTATTTCCCCGCCCAGTAACTCTGGCGAAGAATAACTCTTGAGATCACTTCTCTAATTCTGAAACACACCGATGTCAATTCCTGTCCGACCGAATTCCCATGATATGGACTCACTTAGTCTCGTCTTTCGGGTACTGTAGTTTGTGGTGCAGAGATGCATGTTCGTCGGGGGGCCACAGCTGTTTTGCGTGTTTATCTAGAAAGGCATCTACAATGCCACCAATCTCTTCTTGATGTTTGGCCAAGTGCGAATTGGTAAAGCCTTCGCATTTCAAACTTCTGGCAGCCGGATACGTGTCTCTGAATTTCCTGAACTTCATTTTGATCTTCTTCTGTTCCCTTGAGTCTTATAACCAAGGCGTTCGAATAGGGTTTCGTATGTCGGGATACTGGACCATTTGAAAGGAGCAGACATTTGAGGATCCGTGATGCAGAGGAATGATTCATATGTGGGATGTATGGGCGATAAGAAGGAAAAAGTGAGGTGAAGTAGGACTTCAAGTCGATGATCCAGTTGTGCGAGAACGTCGCTCTAAATACCTGGGGATTGTATCTGCCCCTGGTAGCAAGAGCCCACACACCGGTTAACCGGGGTTCGTCTCCTGCTACAATCTCGGAGTCCATGACACCCAGCAACATTTCTCTAACCATGGAGAGGCCTCAGATCTAAACGGCGGGCAAAGAGGTGTTGGCGAAGGAACGGTCGACCGGGACATGGGATCAGCAAGCATTGACGCGAGTCCACCCTGAGCCCGAAATCCCACCTACCTTGCTGCTGCTTCGTCGGGATAAGAGGATGAAGACAGTTGATAGCTTCGTAGTACGGCGGAATGTTAACACAAAGGCGCATTCTATGATGCATAAAGACATCGATAGTGTCTAGATTATAGCTGTCGTAATTACATCGCAGCCGCGCAATATTTCGATGCCGGCGAAAAGCGTACACAACACGCTAGAGGATCGAAACAAAACATGGTCAAAAATGCCCGGCTTCTGTATCATCCACTCGGTTAGCATGCACCGAGACCAGTTACAGACGAACATCTTCTCTGAGACTGGTCGGATTTACCCGAGGTGAGAATGCCTCGCTTTGCAATCTCCCACGACCGTGCTCTCCGTCCAAATTGCGGCCTTGTCGAATGCCTCCTCTAAGCCCATCTGTGCTAATCTATTACTACAGATAATTACTTGCCTAGATCTGCCCTCCTCTAGTCATGAACACGAGTTCGGTCGAGGTTACCATGAGATGATACCGTTGGCCTCGGCGTTAGTCGAGGTTATGTGCACCCTCGCTGCCCTCTTGCTGATACCGCGAGCCTTCGCCTGACGATGGACATCAGAGGTATGATTGATTGTCAAAGTGGTTTTGCTTGCTTCGATGCGTCCTCTGGATGGTCGTCTTCGCCCATATCCGAAATGATCGTCCGTCAAGACCGCAAATGATCCACCGACTGTCCAAAGGGTGAACAGGCCACTGGGGGTATCAAGCTTTTGATTGACGATCTGCGTCTTATCGATTTCTGGCGATGCGGACGGCAGTTGTCGGAAAGGCAACAAGAACGATCTTTCGTAGCTTAGCTGAACGTGCTGTACTTATTTGACTACAGTGTAGAGTCTCATATGACATTACGTGTTTGCTAGCACTTCTGGATCCTTCCGTGCATCGTCAAGAACCTGCCTCATGGAGGAATATAGTCCAGGCTCTGAACTGTTCCATTTACGTCCACTAGGGAATACTTCCCTTCGTAGCTTCTTGACCCAGGGCACGAGTGGCTGGTATTGTGCAGTGAAGCTCTCCGTAATCTTTTGCTGAAAGTACTGCTCGTCAGCAACTACACCCATCTTGAGCTCAGCCAACGTGTCATCGCTCTCGTAGTTCCACCTATCAAACCCGGTCGGGCCAACATCTTTGCCATCTGCATCATAATGAATGCATATCCAGAAAAGCACCCAGAAAAACGACTCTAGGTCGTGCATGAACGAATGCTGCTCGCCGAGCAGCGCCCCGATTGCCATAAACGCCCGCGTACCAGTCTTTCCCTTGGCACCAGAGGACCCCTCTCTTGGCTCTCGAATGGCCAGGTTAAGATCAATCAAGAAGGCAGGCCAGGATGGGTTGCGACTATCCTCATTGATCATGAGATTGTTGATGGATATGTCTCTATGGAGAATGCCTGCCTTGGACAAAGACTCGTGGGCGTCAATGCAGCATACCAGGGCAGCAAGCAATGCTGATCGAGAGCTCGCCTCGTAGATGGGTTTGCCGTAATCCCGGAGAATGATGCGCCGATGAACCCGATTGGGTGGGGTACTTGGCACCTTTGTTGGAGACATGGAGCAGGACCGCTTGCTTGGGGGTAAGGCGGAGTCGATTTGGCTGGAGGGCCGCTTCTTGCTGCTGCCGGGACGGCCCTTCCGCGGGTCGTCTTTTACCATCTTGCTTGGTGGTATCTGTCGTCCCGGCCGGTAATTCGTCGCTGCCGTAATATCAAGACCACGTCGAACGTTGTTCCAGATGTCATCCTCTGTCTCAAGAATCCGGACCGTTTCGTGGTGATAATACCGGGCCACATTTACAATGCCTTTGTCCGTCACCTCACGCAGAAGATCGCCTTCCTCATCGCGCTCGGGATATTGCCATGAATCCTTGATGACAAGCGG